CGGGAGATTTATCTGAAGAAGCTCAGGAGGTTTCTCCTTTTTACAAATGAGCTTTTCATTGTGAAGCTGCAGAATCACTTTCATCCATCACGTCATCATTTGTTATTTTTCCAACGTGAGTGTGTGAAACTCCTTAAGTGTGATTAGTAAGTTTCCGTTGTGTGGTCGCGTCTCTTCACGTCTGTGTCGTCCTCGGCCTGTGAGCAGGAAACTCTGTCTGACTCTGAGTCTGTCCGGTGACTGATTTCTTTTTAAACGGTGGTGAAGTGCAGTAAATGTGGCGTGATGCATTCAAAGGCACGACCTGTCGTCCCTTCATCCAACCAGGCCTCGGCCACAGTGTGAGGTCCGTGTCCTCCGCTCAGCGTCCTGACGACAGTCTGGAGCGGCTTCGTGGTTCATTTCCCTCGTTCATCAGGTGATTATTCGCAGCTCAGGAGGTCGTCGCAGCTGATTTACAGGGCCCGTTTCAAACTGAGTCTCAGGGTCGATTAGCTGCGTTGGATTGATTCACAGCTGCTGCGGTAATTTATCACAGGGGTAGAAGTTGTTAGAACATTTTACGTTATGGAAACTAACAGAAAGAGTCAATGTCTGAGGTCAGTAAACATCCCACAGAGCGAATTGGACCAAACTACCACTGCATTAGTAATAATAATAATAATAATAATAATTAATCAAAGCTGTGACTTCAGCTGAGAATGATGAGACTCATTAAACTGGTGACCATTGATCAGTGTGTGGAGCATTTTGTCCTGAAGCTCAAGAGAAGTTCAATTCCAACTCTGCTTGTGTCCTAATATATTGACTTTGTTAACGTGTAAGACAAAGAATCTGATGTTAATGTTTTGTTTCACTTCAGCAAAGCAACTCAAGAAATTGGAGCAAGAGAAGTTTTGACTAATTCATTAATGAATTCATTGTTTTAACTTAAAAAAAAGAAAAAAGATTCAACCAAAGAAAGACAGACGGCCTGAGGATTATTGTTATTATTATTGTTGTTGTTGTTGTTGTTGTTGTTGTCGTCGTATATCGTGCATGTTTGAAATAAATCTCAGTCATCAACCCTCCTCTCTCGGCTCCAGGCCTGTTTGACACTTACAGAATGAACTGCTGCAGTTTCAGGGTTAATTTGTGTTGTTCGGGTCGTTTTCCGGCTGCTTTAACTCCGACTCCCCTGAGAGACACAGACTCACTCACCCAGTGTGTGTGTGTGTGTGTGTGTTTACACTTCACTACAAGTAAAAACTTTGTAGTAATAATAAAATCAGCAGTAAATGAAGAAAGTGAAACCCCCTCGTCTGTTTGCTCTTCTCTGTCAGAGTTGAGGAACAGCTCGGCCGTCTTCTGGACCGGTGGCGTCAGCGGCGGGTACGAGACGATGCTGCTGGACGAGGATCGTGGTTGGCTGCTGGTCGGAGGCAAAGACCACATCTACCTGCTGAGGCCCGACAGCCTGGATCTGCCCACGCGTTCGGTGAGATGTTGAAACACGATCGTATAGCTTCTCAGCACCTGAGGAAATAAATCTTGTAGCTGAAGCTGCACGTGTTGTTTCCCTCAGGTTCACTGGCCGGCTGCCGCAGAACATGTGGAGCACTGCAGGCTGGCGGGAAAAAGTCTGGAGGTAGATTATTTATATTTATTTAAATATTTCTGTCTCATATTGTGACTGAACTCTGCATTAAAGCACATATCTACAGTCTCACGTGATATTTTCTGTCGTATTTTCAGACGGACTGTGCCAACTTTGTTCGGCTGCTGCAGCCTTTCAACAAGACTCATGTCTACGCCTGTGGCACCGGTGCCTTCCACCCACAGTGCACATACCTGCACTTAGGACACAGCGCAGAGGTAGAAGAAATGAAGTCATGCTTCATACAGCCCTTTGGAAACAAAGCTGCAGAGTCTGGTTGAGACAGGATTAGAAGAATTTAGGTGTGACACGGCTGCGTTCCACAGAAACACCTTTGACGTCATTTGGAGTCAGAGTCTGTGCAGCAGTGATGGTGGAGTGGAGGCGTGGCATCGAGGGCCACCTGAGACACAGGCTCGACCAATCAGGAGTCAGTCTCAGCTGTCAATCACAACGTCTCCGCCTGTTTTTATATAATCAAACAACTGATTCAAACCAACCTGATGAGAAACACTTGAACAAACATCGAAACGACAGAAACATCTTCGACAAACGTTTATTTAACGTCCCATCTGCTAACACGGAGGAGGTTTATGACATCCTGTCGGGTCGTCCATCTTTATTTCCGTTCTGTGTTTTGTCTGGTTGTGTAGTTTATACTTTAGCCCTTTGGCACTATAGCTTCACAGGTTGAAATAAACTCAGTATAATTTAATGATTTCATATTTCCAGTTCAGCTCTATTCTTACATCAGTGAATTTAAACGAATCTGTGCCTGAAATGAGACGTCAATTAAAATAAGTGAGGACACAGAGTTAGTTTCCACTTTGACCTCATGTGGTTCTGTGTGTGGTCTCTCCCTCTCTCTCTCTCCCTCTCTCTCTCTCTCTCTCTCTCTCTCTCTCTCTC